ATGTATGCAGAATATTGTCGGTACTGGATTAGTAGCGGTAACCAGCAGGACCTACGTTGATTTAAGCTTAACACCCGCAGATTGATGAACGCTCCATCACATCACTTCAACCTTTCACAGAATGTTGCCACAGAGCCAGAATGGCAAGAAAGTCAATTCTAAAACACCTTTTAAATTTATATGGTGGCCCTGAAAAGGGCCGGTTTTTTGTTCTGAGTCGATGATACTAAATTAACCCCCGAATCTGTACAGAGTACGTCCCTGCCGCTTCAGAGCGTAAACGACATCCATGGCGGTGACAGTCTTCCTCTACGCATGTTCGGTGTAAGTAACGGCGTCACGAATAACGTTTTCCAGAAACACCTTCAGCACTCCTCTGGTTTCTTCGTAAATGAGACCGGAAATTCTCTTAACTCCACCACGACGAGCCAAACGACGGATTGCAGGTTTAGTGATGCCCTGGATGTTGTCACGCAACACTTTTCGGTGACGCTTGGCTCCTCCTTTGCCAAGTCCTTTTCCACCCTTGCCGCGTCCAGTCATTTTCTAGTATGATAATTGTAACGTCGATGAAGGTTGAAACGAAAGTGAACAAAAATTCCAAATTTTGGCTGTTTTATACCTACTCGAGGGTTAAATTCTTTTTGTTAGTTGTTGTGTTCTTGTTCTTTCATCGTTTCTGATTGGTTGAACACAGAAAACGCATGTTATAAAACAGAATGGAAGTGATTTTTATTTTTTATTCCACAGTGTGCTTTCATTGAATACACATCACAACCAACAAAATGGCTCAGCGACCGCTCGCAAGTCCACTGGAGGAAAGGCTCCTCGCAAGCAGTTGGCAACGAAGGCCGCTCGCAAGAGCGCTCCAGCCACCGGAGGAGTAAAGAAGCCCCATCGCTACCGGCCAGGCACCGTCGCCTTGCGCGAGATCCGTCGCTATCAGAAATCCGCCGAACTGCTGATCCGAAAGTTGCCTTTCCAACGTCTGGTCCGTGAAATTGCCCAGGACTTCAAGACCGATCTGCGCTTCCAGAGCTCAGCTGTTATGGCTCTGCAGGAAGCTAGCGAGGCCTATCTGGTCGGTCTGTTCGAGGATACCAATCTGTGTGCCATCCACGCCAAGCGCGTCACTATCATGCCGAAGGACATCCAGCTGGCTCGTCATATTCGTGGAGAACGCGCTTAATTATCCCGTATAAATCTTAACAAAACCGGCCCTTTTCAGGGCCACCACAATAATTCAAAAGAGTTGAAGTGACCTTTAAAATTTAAAATCGTTCGTTCTGTTCTTGTCTAGATTAAGTAACGAAGTAGAACGTGTGCGGGGGTTTGTTTTCGAGATTTTGAAAACAAACACAGCCGGGTCCGGTATAGGATTTGGAAATGAATTTCACTTTATTTTCATATCAAAGTGAAAAGGTCCACTAGAAAATAACATATGGTACTTTCTAAGTAAATTTTATTATGTTTTCAAGATTCTCGTTGTTAAGAATTTTAAAATTATTTTTCGAGGTAAAATATGGCTCTGCGAAAATTCAACTTTAGAAAATTAATCGTTAAACTCTTTCTTGATAATGTTGTGGCCCTGAAAAGGGCCATTTTTCCAACGCGCTCGGCGTAGTTGCCCTTGCGGAGCAGACGGTGAATACGACCGACTGAGAACTGCAGCAGCTGGGCATTCCATGACGGCGGCCCAGTATACTGGAGCACTGGCACCAACGCACCCAGGCTCTGCTGCCGCTGCTCTGCTGCCGTTGCTCTGCTTCCGCTGCTCTGGTACTGCTGCTCTGCTGCTCTGCTGCTCTGCTGCTCTGCTACTTGGTCGACGATCGGATAGACAATGATGGAATGGGCGACCTTGTTGGACGCTTATATAGTAGAACAGAAAATATCAGAGGTGTCAGATACTCGCATCTGATGTCTCGGTTGGACAAAGTATAAGAAAATAAAAAAAAAACCAATCGATTTTCACCATCTTTAGACAATGGTTTACTTTTAACCATGTTTCAATAGTTTACAGAATGAAATCAATAGTTTGAAACATTCAGCAAATTGCTAGAAATATTTCCAATCGATTGATGCCTTTATTTCGTAAATCTATCGAGAGACGGTTGAGTTATTATCGTTCAAAATCTTTTAATTTTTCGTAACGCATCCAAAATGACTGGTTTCAATTTTGTACCCCCGTATGTTGCCGAAAGACGTTATCCAACGTCAAAAACACTTAGGTCTTCATAAAGTTCCACTTTCACGCGACGTTCAATGTTTCGGTTTGTTCTTTACGCATTGTTCAGGCTATCATAAAAAGCTATGACCGACGTGACGATTGTTTAAGCCCTGGTTAAACAAGTTATTCAAATGATATCACGTTCCCGAAAGTAGTCAGCAATGTATCCCAAACTAGATCAAGCGTACCCCCCCCCCACAAAACTCAACTACGTTCTTGCACTCGCAAAATAGATCACGCGCGATTGAGGTCATCCCGGCAGGAGACAAACGGGTTGTTTTCAACTGGAACAAGCTCCCCAAATACAATCACCATGGCAGCACCAAAAACTACATACTCGAGTCTTGTCACGATTAACAAGGTCCAACGTGTGTTCCCCTGCTTACTGAAAGCTCCTGTTCCCCTCGTGTTCAGGACTAGAGTTTGCTGAAAATCTTGTTCCAGTAACACATCACGAAAAGGTGATCTACCAGCGTTACTGGATTGAAAATATATCCGAACAAAAAGGAACGAACGATCCGGATCTATTCGCCGTTCAAGGGAGCTCCACTGCACCGACGGGAAGCTGGAAATATCCTCGTGCTCCTCCAGCGTTAGTCTTTTGATTCCAGCAGCAGTTTTTCACCCGGTGGTTCTACTGCTGCGAGTGCTTCTTTCTTGCTGCCGGCTGACCAGCGGAACGCGTTTTGCATCTTTCACTCGCGTTCGGCCCAAATTCGGAATTTCATTATTTTAACACTCGATAAACCGCGCATCCGACCCGTTGCGACTGCAGGTCCGTAGTTGACATTAACTCGAGTCAAAATGTAGAAAAATTTCACATTGAATGCAATAGTTTGATCCAATAATGGGTCAATAACCTCGTAGCTGGTGTGCCTCGGTCGACTCGGTAGGCAATTTCGTTGTTGCTGTCGATGGTGTGATGTACCGATAGTGATGATGTGCTTACGTTGGTGTTGCGATGATCATGATTAAAGCTGGACCGTAAGCAAAGCTTTCGGCGCATGGTTAACGGCTTCCTCACTCGCGCCCTTGTTGTCTATAATACTATGCCAACTAACTTTGGTAAGAAAAAACCCTCGCGTGGGGAAAAACTCAAACAATAGTGTCGTACAACGAGACCATTACGTCTTGACCGGCTCAGCGTGTGAAACGGAATGGATAAACTACATGATTACATTCTAATTAAGGATTATATTCCAATTGTACCTGGAAGAATTCTGGAAGAAAATTACATAGTCAACTGTTTAAAGAACTAAAGCAGACTTTTTACTCAAAACATAAAAAGTATGAGGATGTTTCCAAGACACGACCGTAGATTTGTCGTAGGATTACACAAACGACCCATTGGTCCAAATGGCCCGGAACCCTGTTGAATGCTTATTCTATGTCTAGAAGAGCAACTCCAGTTGAACAGCCTTCAGATTTGTCTGAACGAAATAAAATGGTAACTCTTAAGAGTTGATGAGTAGTTAAATGCACATGGCGAAATCCAAACTGCTCGTCTGCAAATATTGAGTTCGTATTGATGTGAAGCATCTTTCTATTTAAAATTATCTTTTCAAAAAGTTTACTTATTGAAGAAAGCAAACTTATTGGACGATAGCTAGAAGCTTCAGCTGGATTTTTATCCGACTTCAAAATTGGAACAACTTTTGCATTTTTCCGTTTATCAGGAAAGTATGCCAAATGGAAAAATCTGTTGAATAATTTTAACAAGAAAGACAAGGCCCTCTCTGGGAGTTTTTATAAGGATATAGAAAAAATCCATCATCACCTGGAGCTATCATGTTATGTTTTTAAAGTTTAAGATCTTAATTCGCACAAATCAATCCCCCTGATGATTTCTGGGGAACTATTTTACCGAGAGAAAATATTCATATTTGTTTTGCATTAAAATCGCCAATAATGAAGAATTTAGACCTATGACGGGAAAGTTTCTGAAGACTTGAGAAATTCTTTTGCTGGCCTACGCATTGGAATGATAAATAGGCAGCTATAAAAGTAAGTTGTCTAAATTTTGTTTCAGCAGAAACTCCCAAAGTTTCAAAAACTTTGGTTATTATTGAAGAAAAAATTTTATGTTTGATTCGTCTGTGAACAATGATGGCAACAAGACGATCATTTCGATATATGAAATAATTTGCGTCCATTTTAACCTTATGGTCAGGTTTAAGGAACGTTTCAGTTGCTATGACGATATGCACGTTATGAACTCTCTAAAAGTTAAATAGCTCGTCATCATTTACTTATTTTATTTAAATAGTCCTGTAATGTTAAGTGTCATAAATAGTGGCAAAAACACGTTTTTAAAAATGTCTACAGACAAATGTTTGAACGCACTTTTATGTCGATAGACGAGAGTAACACGCTATCTTTAGCCATACGTACAAAGTAAATTGTGATCATAACCAAGTGTACTGCTAAAAGCTACGTTACAATTACATATTTTAAGATATTTTAACCTAATTTATTTATTGGCCCAATGTTACCCCACATAAGGTTATACATTGGATTTTTTTTTTTTTTTATTTAATTTTAGTAAAATGAGATATCAATTTAAATCAACCATTTTCATGACAGTCGTGAATATATCATTGAAAAAATACTTAAAAATGTGTTTCTTGCTAACATGTGGACGTTCTAAGGTAGGGCGAACATTTTGATTTTGTGCCCAATGTCACCCCCACTTACAATATGTTGTGTGCTCCAGCAGACATTTAAAATTGTACTGAATTTCTGTTAAAGAAACTGATACCAGTGGGATAGTTTATTCCAGAAACTGCATCAACATTGCTGAGTACGAGTAGATCTTTTTTATGATCTGCAAATTGAAAAAAAAAAAATATTAATGTTTACGTGTTCCATTTAAAACATCCATCATACCTCTACGAACGTTTCCATGTTAAGCAGAGATATTCCACCGATCGTCATCTCAACTGCGTTCTGCGATCGTTGCAACATGAAACCCATCATTTTTTGCATCTCACACGGAAGATAATACCATCGAGTATCACCCAAGGCCAGCATAATTTCATCGTTCTGAAAATATATATATCATTAATAAATTATTTCCATCACTCGCCTAAATATGCCAAACACTCACCTTAATCGTCAAAATGGTACCCATGACACAATATTGCAACAATTGGAAAAAGGCCATCGCCAGGAACGTCAGAATGCCTATATTCAGAGTCATGTAGAAATTAAACAACGACAGCGCAATACAAGCCACTGATGAAAGCACTTGGACGAAGACAATGGCTCCATGGGCCGCATCCAAATCCTCTTCGTAGCTGCAATGGATTGAGTGTTATATCCAGGGAGTACTTCTGAAGCTACTCATCAAAGGTATTACGTGATGATTTCCTGATGAATGACACACACTTCCAGGAGTTTTTTCCGAATCTGTTCAGCGTTCCTGTCATTCGTCTCTAGCAACTGATCCAGCTCGTTCAAAGCATTTTTGAAAACATCTGTGATTCCCGCAACATGTCCAATGACAATGATGACTGCAAGGTCAGCGACAAGGATTCCTGCCACAGCCAAACCCAACAGCATTAGGTGGTATGCAGTAGTGACGGCATAACCAAGGCTTGTATCCGTATCGATTCCAGGAATGTGCAAATTTATCAACAACAATCGCTCGTTAAAGCGAATGTATGTGTACATGGGAATGATCAGAAAGCCGAAGCTACCAGAAATGAAAATCGCCAGGAAAAACCAGTATGCGTAGTCGATCAAGACACCCCAGTACACCAGTTGGCGGTTGTTCTTCTTGTGTTTGCCATTGTTTCGATACAAAGCTGTCAGTCGCCGATAGTTTCCTCGATAGAAATCGGAATTCATCAGTCCGCTGTACGCTTTTACCAGAGACGAGGATCCCATACCTACCAAGGACAATGTTTCGATCACTTGAAACCAATCGCCCCAATGAAGATAGACCGTGTATCCAGTGAACAGAATGAACGATAGCAAACTCAAGCAAGTAAAGAACGTCATCGGGCTCCAAATGAATGGAACCGTTAGGACGTCCATACCGATCAGACGAAGCTTCCAACGCAAACGGCGAAGAAGGCCTTCATACAGATCGATGCCTTGAATTTGAAGCAGAGCTTCCTCATTAAAGATCACCAGGTGACGTCTGATTGCGCGGCGGAGGTTCATGTTGGTCTTCCGTTTGCTGAGTGTAAACTGGTGCTTCGGTTGGACTGGATCATAAATTCTGCTGCTCTAAGTGCAGTGTTTCTGTTTTTTTTTATTTCCGCTTGTAAATATTACAGTGGCTATACCCGCAATTCAAATTGCATCCCAGTTAATAACCAGTTGGGGCCTTCCTTCGCTCGGTCGGTAAAGGCGCAGCTACAAAAATCCCAAGGAACACAAATTCAATGAATTATGTTGGGGAAACTGCTATACATCCAAAAACTAGTCATACAAAGGTTATATAAACTGTTATAGAACATGTGTGTTGCTTGGGAAGATCATAAAATTCTAGACCATACGATTCCCCATCCGGTCTAGGAACGTTTCGGGATGGAAAAAAATCTGGTTGTATTTGCCGCACAATGATACTAATTTTAAAAAATTGTACATACTTATATTGCTCTTATCTCTTATAGTGAAAGTGCATCTAGAACACTTAGTTGAGAGCTGGTATAGAGTCCCAGTAGGGATGTTATAAGCCAATAAAGAAGAAGGTAATTACCAGTTGAAGGTTCTACGTTGTAGGATCACAGCTGTATTTATAATTCATGTGAAAGTTTCTTCACCACGGTAAGTTTTTTTTTCAAATGGGAGCTGGGTACCCGGATACTACGTCTCACATATATTGGTTAAATTAATAATAAAGGCGTGAATCAGTTCTATGCCTTGCATTAACTGTAACCAGGCATCTTAAATTGTAGCAAAAACCGTTAGAAGTAGCTATCTGCCGTATTCTGAAGCGCTATTTCGTAACCTTCAAAGCACAAATCACCATCTTAGCAACAGTTTGTACGATGCTGTGATGTCATTTTAAATTTGTAGCTGGTTGCTAGGGTGGTTCCTTTTGAAAAAAGTGTAAGATTTCTTATAGGCCACCCTCCAGTTTGATTCATAAACCGAAGATATGCGCGTGTGCAAACAATCGTAAAGATTGATGATGATTTAGAGGTTACGCAACAACTTGAAACCTTATTTAAAACGTGCTCGGGTACTGAATTACTACACAATACAGGAAAATTATTTGATTCGACTTTCGATTTTTCAAATGCGAACTGTCAGGCTTTACGTTTCACACCTTCCATCATATTGTGTACCGCTATTGTATCAACCTTATTTGATGCTGAACGTCAATTTGCTTTGAACTGTTGTTCATTTCCAAATTTTCTGAGTTTTATTGAGGTTCCGCTTAACGACTGCCCAATATTTTTCAATTGGGTGCAGCTCCGGCAAGCTTGGAGGGCTTTTGTCCTTGGGTACGACTTGGACGTTGTCATTCCTGAGCCATTTTCACGTAACTAAGGAACCAGAGTCTGGCCCAAACAGCACGGAACAACTGTGTTTTTTCAAAAAAGGATTCAATCGTTTTTGCAAACAATTATTTTCATAAATATTTTTGTTGACAATGCCAGTTGTGACGAAAATTTCGCTTTTCAGCCCACAAGTACAAATCGCCTGCCAAACCAAGTATTTTTTTACGGGAACTTTGACAACTTTTTCTGCTTAAACTTATCTTGAACCTTTTTTTTGCGGTAGCCGTATAAATTATTGACCTGCAAGCTGCTTGAAATCCGCCTTGAAAATTTATGGCGCAATCAATCTGCGTGGGAATAATTTGGATTTCGCTTATGCGCGAGCAAAATTTTGATACGGTGTTCCTCTTGTTTCGATGCCATTTTGACAACTAAATCGAAAATGTCAAAAACAAAATAGAGGCAACATTCCGTACGCACAGACCTTCAAAATAAGGGGTTATCAAGTTTATTTGGAAATGCACGATTAAAAAAAAATCTCCAAATTTGAGTCGACCAATTTTCGACCGTTCCACCACACCATCGCGTGTGTTTCCTTCTCAGTGTCTTCTTTCCAAAAATATCTTATTAAAAACAATTTAACGTGTCACTTTATTATAACGAACTAATAAAATAAAACTCATTGACGTAGCTAATAGGGGTGCAAAGGGGGCTAGGCCCCCCCCCTCCCGGAATTTTTGGTATTTTTGTATTGACGTTGTCAAGTTTGACGTTACTTTTTTAACAGCGAGTGATAGAATTCGACCACAAATAAATTTTTTTTTAATCCTTTATGTTGACTACTTTTCTTATGTTCTGGACTAGAAGAAAAGATTTTGTGAAATTATATCATATCGACATTTAATCGATGGCATAATGGCATGAGCCCAGGGGTTTTTCTTTAACTTCTGAGAACTTCGTACAACTTAAAAAGGACTTTTAAGATAGCGGCGCCGGTGGTGGTGTAGTGGTAAGCGTGATTGCCTCTCACCCCAGCAAGCCTGGGTTCAATCCCAGTCGGCGCCTCCGGGATGTTCTGAGGCATAACATCTCTGATCACGCCTTCCTTCGGTAGGGAAGTAAAGCCGTTGGTCCCCGATTCATGAGTTGATGTGTCGATAGGTAGGGTCTAGGTGTGGGAGCTGCCTCCCTGGCGTCGGTAGCATTGGTGCTCAGCACGGAAAAAAAAGATCGACGGAAAACAAATCAAGGAAAAAAAAAGCATCGCAGAGCATCGTTGAAGTTAGAGGAATAATATTTTATTTCAGAGTACCTCATTGCTGATCGGAAGCCTCTATACAATTTCATGGCACTGAAGCCTCATGATTTTGGAATATTTGTGGAAATTACGTGAAAATTCCAGAAATTTCGTTTATGGAACTTTGCCGAAAATCAGCGCAGAAGTTCAGGAAGCTTTGTAAAGTTTTGCGAATTACGTAGCATTTTGAGGAGTAGCGTAAAACTTCATATAAGAGCAAGGAATTTTTTTTAAAGTTCAGGGAATTTTGTAGAAGATCTAAAAATAGTTCAATAAGCTTCCAAGAACTTTAGGAATCCGCGCTTCAGTTAAGAGAATTCCGTTGCAGTTTGCAAGAGACCGAACTTCAAAACAAGCTCCATGGTCTCCTTGGAGGTTTTGGGAAATTCGTTAAATTTCAAGAAACTTCATAGATGTTCAAAAATATTTGTAAATGTCTAAGTTGTCTTTCCTGAAGTGCCAATATGTTCAGAGATCTTTGCAGAATTAATGGAGATGGGAAAAAAATTGGAATTTGGAATAATTCCATGGAATTTCGTAGCAGTGGAGGAAAAATTTAGGGAGTTTTGTAGATGTTCAGGATACGTTGCATAAGTTAATAGGTTATTCTTTCAAACATCCTTTGTAGGCAGAAGGAAATATTCAACAGATCTCCATATAATCGAAGATATTAGTACGGTTCTCTGGATGCTTTTCCAAGATTTCAATTAGATCAAGTTCTGAGGATCCAACTGTTTAAACATTCAAATATTCTTTCAAGACTGTATGTTGTGCAGTTTTCAACGAAGAGATGGAAATTTGTACATATATTTTTATGCATAAATGTCTTTTTTTTTTTTCGATGAAATTTGTGCTCGGAATTTAGTTGCAGGATAGTTTGAATGGAATTGTGCTTAAAACAATGCGTGGGTATGTATGAAGAGTAGATCAGATTCCAAAGTACTGTGCTTACCGGGACCTAGTGGGATTAGTAAAATTCCCGAAGGAACCAGCAACACTGTACAAGGACCACAGAACACGTTTCAACAACCTCCAGGATCTAAAGGTTTTGTGGGGTCCAAACAAAATGCTTTCAACTCTCCTAGAACTCCTCATACAGTACCACACTCCAAAGCTGGTCTTAACAAGGGTCACAAAACAACCAATAAGTACATTTCAAATTACATGAAAAATTTGGGTAATCGCAAAACCAACACAGGGGGGCTGAAAGCACCTCAGAAAAGCGTGAACACAGTGAACAATAATAACGCAAATAAAATTATTATCAACAACAACAACTTTCTAGACAATAGAACGAATAACAGAAATGGCTATGGAAACAATAGTCAAAACAATAACAACAGCAATATCAAATTTATTCAAATAAACTTACATCAGGCAGAGGGAGCTACAGCTGTACTTTGTAAAACGTGCAATCAAAGCCAACTGGATGTTGCTTTGATTCAGGAGCCATGGACGAATAACTGTAGAGTATTGGGAATATTTATCCACACAGTCAGGTAAGTTGATAAACTACAAAAATCAGCTAGCACCAAGAGTAAGTCTTGCCTATGAAAAACTTACTGGTGAGGTTTTGCCTGAAATAGCTCCCTTAAAGAGAGCCGGTAGAAGGTTTTGGAATGCACGGATACCTCGAGTAGATTGGACCCTTTAAAAAGCAATATAAAGTAGGGGAACCGCCTGTGATAGCACAACAAATATATCTCGATCTGTGCCAACATAAACATCTATTCCATAGACGTTTGTTCACGAATGGCTCGGTGGACTCCGGAAAGGTCGGTTTCGGGATATTCTCTGAAGCACAAAAAGCTCACTTCCAACTACTCGCGATATGCTCCATTTTTTCAGCAGATGCCATGGCCATCCTCTACGCTACAACCAATTTTGTCAAGACAAACGAAGCCACCGTAATTTTCACAGATTCTGACAGCATTAGAGAAAGGACAATCACGACACCCGTGGATCCAATCTATCGAAATCGAAGCAGAAAGCAAAACCATCGACTTCTGTTGCATCCCGAGTCACGTTGGAATATTAGGAAACATCAAAGCAGACGATTTAGCCAAACAAGGAAGATATGGAAATCTTTTGGATATTGCAGTTCCCGGTGAAGACGTAGTCAGACACAGCAAACAACAAGTTCGACAACAATGGGAGGTCGAATGGAATAACAGCAGTAATTTTCTACGAATTTGTAAACCATCTACACTTGCTTGGACGGATCGATCCTCCTCCACGGAGCAGTGGGC